TCCAAGATCTGGGTGCTTCAGTCATACTGCCAGACATGTGCTAATAATGCTGCCCCCACCATGAATCTCCCTAGAGGGTAAGAAGTGCTTGGATTCTTGTCCCTTTCCTCAGTGTTCCTCAGGCCCACTCCTTGTCCGTAGACATGCTTGCTGAAAGTAAGCTGGTTGAACAGAGACAGGGGTGGAGGGCATTATTCCAGGTAAAATAAACCAGGCACAGAAAGACAAATGTTGCACAATCTCACATAGAATCTAAAAAAAGGAAAAAAATCCAAATACAGAGCCACTGGGTCCTGGCCTGTCCCTGTGCATGGCTGGGAACAAGGTGGTACGGCTGAAGTGGATGCCACTTTCAGTCTCTGTGACCATGCAGGGCATGTCTGTGGGGAGCCGGGGTGAGGTACAGAGTCTGACTGTGGGCTCTCATGGCCCCAGAGGCTTCCTCTCCACCTTTGCCCAAGCTATCTCCTCAGCCTGGTGACTTAGCATTCTGGCAGTTGGGATGTTGTGCTTGGCCACCCAGGCTCTGCACTTGGCCCATCATCTTGCATTTTTTTCACTGTCATCCTATGGTTCTAGTTTCACTCCTGTTTTGCAGAAAAGAAAACTAAAAAGTACAGAGAGTCAGTGAAAGAGTGGGATTTGAATTCAGGTCTATTTGACTCTAAAGCTTGTGCTTTGATTGTCACACCAAAGAGCCATGCAGGAGCCACCTCCTTCCAGAACATACAACTGTGTCATGAGACTTTGTTGCAAAGAAAGGGCTCAGGGCTTGAGTCAGATGGGCCTTGAGGGCCCAGTAGCCCTGCTCACTGGCACCTATTGCCAAGGTCTGGGCTTCCCAGGACCTCTGAGACCAGGATTTTGACCTTCTGGAGTTTGGAACACATGGTATCTTGGCATTCTCCCACCTGCCAAGGAAGACCCAGAAAAGAACCTTTTTGCACAGAGACAGTGGCTGTGGGGCACACCTCATATATCAGAGCATACGGCCAAGTACAGAGGAGAGGCAGGGCAGGAGTTCCAGGGCATGTTACCCTTTCTTACCCAGAGCATGTTACCTCCTTCCTTTATTTCTGTTTGTTGTTGTTGTTTGGTTTGGTTTGGTAAGGGGATCGAACTTGGGACCTTGCGCGGTGGCGCCTTGGAACTAAATCTCTGGCCCACTCCTTCCTTTAGTTCTTAGAGCCAGACCTGATCCCTGGTTTTACACATGTTACAGGAATGCCACTACCCTGCTGAATAGGATCTCATCAGCTCAGACAGTCCCCAAGGGTCATCAGACTACAATCGGACCAGCTGTCTAAGGGGAAGGGAAATATTCACTGTCTGTCCTTCCCTCTTTCAAACACATGCCCCATGCTAACACATCTTCTTTTGCAAGGTTTCCTTCTCAACAGCTGGGCTGTGACTGAACCCCAGCATTAATGAGGGTACTGTGCAGCTGCAAGAGACCCCTGGAGGACACATGGAGGCCACAGCCACCCACCATGGGGCTAGAGAGTTCCAGAGTGGCATTCAGTGTTGCATATCCTTACTGTGATCCTCCTGGAGTCCCATCCTCACCCTAAAGACTGGAGGCTGCTGGATTTGCTGCGAGCAAAGAGAGATATAAGAAAATTAGAAGATGAAGATTGTAGATGTTAGATACTACATGATAGGAGCTACCACGAGAAAGACCTGTGTGGCTTTACTGGAGAACCCTGTGATCTCTGGTCTTGATCTTTCCTCATTTCCCCCACACTCATCATTTTTTTTAAAAGGCCCTAATAGATGGGAGAAGAGACTCTCAGAAAGGATGGGACTGATAGAAGGTCCCAGAGAAGAAGTGGCTAAACTGGGATTTGAACTCAAGTCTCAGGACGCCCAGCTTGAGGAGTTGTCTCCTCTCTTCTTTTGGCTTCATCATAACTGTGGGAAACTCTTAGGGAAACAACAGAGGACCTGAGATAAGTCAGCCCCTCCCCCCAGCTTCCCCAGAACAACAGGCCACCCCTCCTGTTTGAGGGGGGTCCCATGGTTAATCAATGCTTTGGAGGAGTTATTTTCTTTCTAAAGAGCTCAAGCTCACCAGCTGTCAAGTTTCCTGACCTGAATATTCCTCAGAACATCACTGAGGCCAACAAGACCCCTGCGGCCACAGAAACCCCCGGAGCACCATCCAGAGCCAGGGAGCCCATTGCCTCCAGGAGATCTTTGCCACTAGGTGGTGTCCTGCTGCCCAGAGGGAGGTTAAGAAGTCTGTCACTGTCATGGCTTGTAGGTCTAGATGTCACCCCAAAGCCTCATGGGGCTTTTTCGGAGGTGGCTGGATCTAGAACGTGTGACACAGGGATTGATTCATGGTGCAAGGCTAGTATCAAGGGCACTAGGATTAAGGGCGTGAGGGCTATCCACCCCTAGGATGGGTATCCTGGACAAGATATAAGGGACAGAAAGCACTGTGGTCATCCCTTGTTGCTTTGCTACCTTCTGCTCACCATGAACTGTTTCTGCTCTGCCATGCCTGTCTTGCCTCCACCCTGCCTTGGAGCCATCTGACTATGGGCTGAAACCTCTACAAAGTGTGACCCAAGTAAACCTTTCCTTCTTTTAACTTTGGGTGTCAGATATTTTGTCTCAGCAACAAGAGAAAAGTAAGTAACACAGTTCCCTCTCGAATAATGGGCAGCCATGAAAGGGACCATAGCCTCTCCCCAGCCCCCACCTACTGTGGCAGGGCTTCCTCCCCTCTAGACCTTCCCCACAGCCTGGACAGGACTCTGGCTCTACCTCTCTCTTAGCTCAGGGCCAAGAGTGTGGATGTTATTAAGAAAACCAAGAAAACCCATAACCTGGGATCCTGGGGAGGGGAAGGGTAGACTGTGAGAGCCCCCAGAGGCAGCTCTGATGTTGTATTTACTCCCCAAAGAGGAGCTCATTGGTAGCTCTTCCAACCCTCTTCCTTCCCTTACCCTGTGCTCCTGTTTATTCCCTTTAGTCCTCAAAATCATCTCAAAATTATCTCTACATTTACTTATCAATGTTTTCTCAGACTTCATTATTCAAGATCTGTCTTGTGGACTAGATCAAGACTTCACAAGGGCAGAAACCCATCACTCTTGCCAAGAGTAGAGTTCCCAGTGCCATTCAGTGAATGACAGAATGAATGAATGATGTAGGCAGGAATCAAACACTGAATCAGACAACTTTACAGTTTAGCTTTCTGATGTTTTAAGCCAAAGAAAACATACAAGGCATTGAGGAAAGTACCTTTTCAAAAGACAACAGGAGGGAAAACTGCCTTTGTTTTCTGTTGTTTTTGTGGTGCTAGGGATTAGACCTGGGGCTTTTGGCATGTTAGGCAAATCCTCTACCACTGAACTGCCCTCTCTGTGCCCCGCCTCTGCAGCTGTCCAAAGCAGGCCTGACTGGCTCTGGGAAGGTCCTCTGGGAACTGTGTTGGCCAGGAGACCTGGCAGGTGCCCCCATCCTCAGCTTGGCTCTGCTCAGAGCCGAGGGCTCTCAGGGCTTATAGCTTTAGGGTTAACCAATTCTGCTATTAGCCACAGCGAGCACATATTGAACACCTACTGTGAGTCAGCCTCAGTGCTAAACACCTGGGAAAGCATAATCTCATTAAATATTAAATATTATTATTTATTTTGAGGATGGGGAGACTGAGGTTCAGAAAGGCTAAGGGCCCCATCAAGTCACCCACTCAAATGACAGAGAAACTACTTGAGTCCATCTTGCTTACTTAGAAATTCTTGCTCCTTAATGACCTCCTGATGCCACAGTTGACATTAATGTGGACAGGAACCCTCTGTAGCATACTTTGTGCTTATTTTTAGTGTGAAGAGTCCGTTGCTTCCCTCCCTGTCCATGGATGGGGTTTCAGGAAGCCTTGGGGTGGGGTTGTCCTGGGGGGACAGTGACATGGCCAGATCTGGTTTTCCTGGAATGTACAGACTTTGGGCTTTCTGTCTAGAAGCCAAAGATGGGCCCTAGAGGACTATTTTGGGAGCCTCTCTGCCTGTTTTCTGGGCTGGTGCTGTATCCTTGCTCCATAGGCTTAAATTCAAAAGCAAGAGGTGCCTTGTGATTCTGCAGACTCACCCTCCCCTCAGCTATCTCCCCCTATCCAGGAGAACCCTGTATGTGTTTGGGAGGAGGGTTGCAGCATCCCTGAGGTCTTCAGTGTGTCTGTCTGTCTCTCCTCCCTGCCTGGGCAGGTCAGGAGGGCTTTGGTGTCAAACTCAGCCTATGGTGACCCCTACAACTTGTGAGCAGAGGCAGCAGTGCGGTGAGCTGTCGGACCATAGGCCCTGGAGCTGAGCCACCGGGCTCAAACTTCAGCTGTGTGACACTGGGTAAGTCACTGCACCTCTCAGTTCCTCAATTTCTTTATCTGTAAAACGGGCTGTCCTGGTAGGTACCCTGTAGTGCTCTCAGGAGATTAAATGAGACCACTTTCCAAAGTCACAGTCCAGGGTTCAGTAGGTCCTGAGCACTTAACAGGCAGGAGCTCACTGCAGGAAGTGGCAGAAGCCCCCTTCACCACTCCTCTGGGACCTGGCATGTACCCATCCACCCTTCTAGACCACAGAAAGTCACAGTGGGGAAACAGGAAGAGAGGAAAGGCAGAGAGCAACTGAGAGTCATGAAGGAGAGGGGACTCTATTCACAGTAGCACACAGGAGTTGGGCTCTGATAACCCCTCGAAATATGAATCGTGATGATTTTGAGCTTAGAGCCCCAGGGTCCTGGTCCTCCCCATGTGTGAGGAGTGGGGCAGGAACTGAGGCAAGAGGGGTCAGCAAAGGTGAGAGTAGAAGGAAGCTACCAAGAGTGGAATTAAAGCCCTCTTGCTTATCAGCAGGGTCCTGGGATTCGCCTGACATTTTCCAGTCATGGTCTGGACCATCCCCAGCTGCCAGACACCCCTTGCTCAGTCACAGAGGGAAGAAAACACCCAAACCTTGGAGGATCCTTCACAGAGACTCACTCCAGCTGCAGGGAAGGTGGAATCTTTATTGAAAGTGTAACAGACTACCTGGGTCCTCCAGCTCGGTCCCCAAGGTCCCCTCCCTCCCCCTGCAGACTGATGTGTAGGCCAGTGTTCGCCAACAAAGCAGTGGCTGGAGCGATTCTCTTCAGAGTGGGGACAGGTGAGGAAGAGGGCAGGAGGGCTGGGGGGACCTGTCATGGAGGCTGAAGAGAAGTGCCAAGGACTGTGTGCAGGCCAGGTGGCTCCAGGGCTGGTTCTGGTTCCTTCCAGCAGCATCTCTGTCTCTGTCACTCATGTGCTGAGCACCAGGAGGTCCTTGGAAGGTAGAACAGAGAACCAGGTGAGCAGGCAAGATGGCTCTGAACAGTGGTGATGAAGAGGCTCGTGTGGGCCTGCCAATCCCTGGCTGGGCCATTATCCTGCCCAGTAGAGAGAGCCTGGGTCAAGAGCCTTCCCTTTTTGCCCCTCATCTCCTTCATTCCCGAAATAAGAGAAAGAGGCCTGAGCTCTTCTCTCCAGTCTTTCAAAAACCCAGTTTATATAATTTTTTAAAGTTCTACAACCAATAATGAAAGTAATGAATTATAGCCCACATAACAAAATAAATATCCATGAGTCCATATTGATATAAATAATTGACTGAACATATAAATAAATGGGGGGACTGCTCTTCCTTAAAGAATTTCAACTAATAACTGTAAAAAACGTACAGAAACAGAAAATCCCCATTATGTATGTCACATACACAATGGAGTGTACCAAAATTGGTGGGAGAAGGTCTGGTGAGAAACAGGGCATGTGCATGGTCTCAAAGAACCTCCTTGTAAGACATTTATTAGTGACAAAGGGAAAAATAGTGGCTTTACAGTAGGGAAACCTGGCAGGAACCACCTTAAGCAAGTGACAACAGTGAAGCTGTCCAGGACTATGTCACATGGGCATTGTGCCCCAAATATAATATGTGGAGAAGGGCACACACCCACTTCTATAAAGTTCTTGCCAAAAAAAATGTGACCTCCACTAAACAATGAGAAAAAATCAGATCTACCTTGAAGTGTATACCACAAACAGGCCAGGCTTATTGGAAATGTCAAGGTCATAAAGTGCAAGGAAAAGGTGAGGAGCTGTCCAGATGGGAGAACTCTAAGGAGATGTGACAACAAGATGCAAGATCCTGCACTAAATCCTGAACTGGACACAGGACATGGTGGGAGAGCTGGTGGAAAAGGTGTGTGGATTAATGCTCATGGATCAGTTTCTGGGTTTCAAGTGACTGCACTCTGGTTATAGAAGATACTAGCATTAGGGGATTCTGGGAAAAGAATATTTGGAACAATCTGTTCTATTTTGTGCAGCTTTCCTCTTAGTTTAAAATCATATCAAAAATTTAAAATAAATGGCTAGATCCATATAAAAATGACAAGATGAGCAGTCACCATTCACAGGGGCTACAAGGCCAGGCACAGGGCTGAGGTTGTGAAAACTTCAAACCTAATATCCGTCTTACATTTTCATAACAGGTACTTGTGCTGTCTCCTTTATGGTTCCGAAATAAAACTCATAGGTTACATAACCTACTTCTACAGATATATTTTAAACCAGTATGTTCTCTTACTGTAATGTTAAGGAGAAATAAAAATAATTTATAATAAAATAATATGTATTTCCATATGAAAATATTCAAGCATGATTATTCATCCCTACCAATTTTCAAAAGGTCTGGGGGAGAGGCTGGGTGCAGTACAGCCCCATTGAGAACCACTAGTTTGAGCTGCTTCATTTTATTTCAATACAGACTCCACTTCTCTCCAGCTAGGTGTCTCTGGGCAAGTGGCCTACCCTCTGACACTCAGGCCCTTCACCTTGCATGTGAGGATAACATCAGCCAAGACTGGGGCAAGACGCAGACTCACATCCAACATTGCATAGGGCACACGCTGCAAGAATGGGGAAATCACAACGACCATGACAATTACGGTGATGATGACAAATTTGGGCCAGTCCTGCTCACATTTCCTATTTCTGTCTTTGTTTAGGCAACTAATAACAGTCAGCAATACAATGCCAGGTAGTTTAATTTCTCACCACAAACTCCCCAAGATAGGTATCATTATTCCCCATTGTCAGATTAGGGAAACTGAGACTCAGCAATGCTAGGGTCCTGCAGCAGCTCAAGGGATAAAACCAAGGCAGGCACCCCTGGGACTGTCCCAGAGCCTGCATCTGTCCACTGCCCACACTGTCATCCAAGTTCACTGCCCACCTCCCTTGGCTGCTCCCCTAGTGTGGGCAAGCATGGGGTGTGTGGGAGGAGCCATCAGCTGTGCAAATAGGAGCAGCTTTGGAAAGGACATTGCCAATCTGGAGCAAAAGCCTGTCTGTCCATATCTTGACCAGCATATTCCAAGGAACTAAATCCTGGATCTAGAAACAATTTGGCAAACCAAGATGTTCACTGCAGGATTCTGTTTTATAAAGTTAACATGGTAATGGTGGACATTTCTAGAGTGCTCACCATGCACCAGGGTCTGGGCAAGCACTTTCCATGCAGAATCTCATTTTATCCTAGAGACAGCCCTGTGGCTATGTACCATGATAAGCCTCTTTTTTTTTTTTTTTTTGATAAGCCTCTTTTTATAGAGGAGAAAACTGAGGTTCAGAGAAGTTAAGTTGTTTGACCAGGACCACCCAGCTGGAAACTGGCAGAGGCAGGATTTGAACCCAGGCTGTTGGGCTCCACACCTTCATTCCTTAACCACAGTATTCTGCTGACTCCCAATCAAAGCCATGTTTGAAAATAAAACTCCAGAAAGACTGGACTAAAAATCCATCACAGTGTTCCGAGGTGTAATTACTGAGCTGCATACGTATCTAGGAGGATACACATGAATTTGTCTAACCTTTTCTGTATTTTTCAACTTTCAGATGCTGAGCACATGTGGCCTTTATAGTGGAAACAAGAGACCCTGCATTTGAACTTCAAGGCATCTGCCATCATTATAACGAGTCAATTACTTCAGGAATATTTACCCAAAGTCCTGTGTCCCCACTGGGCTGGGGAAGCTTCACAAAGGCCAGGACTGTACTTGTTCATTTCTATATCCTCAGTACTTTTGGCACAAATACAGTAGGTGTTCAGTAAAAGCTCTTCCAATGTACTACATCACATTTCCACCTTAGGCAAGCCTGTTACTACTCTGAGCCTCAGTTGCCCCATCTGGAAGATGGAGACAGTGACATCTACGGCGAGTTCTCAATAAGACTGTGGATGTGAGAGTTTCCTTTAAGGATTCTACCAACTTTGTTCCTATTCCCTCAGCCCTGAACTTTGAAGGGAGAGGCTCTAGCCCCTCCCATTCTCTTCTTCCCAATTGTTGGCCTGATCTTTTGCAGGGACCAAAGGTGACAGCAAAGGACAGAAGGAGATGCAGAACAGAGTTCTATCTTCCCTTACCTCTAAGACATCGATGTCTGCATTGCTGAAGTCGATGCTGAGGATTTTGGGGAGAGGGACCCCAGAACCCAGCACAGCTATAAAAAAGAAAAAAAAAGGTCATCAGGCACAGTCAACATGGCCAAGAAGTATCTGCCTAACCAGAATCCCCCTGTATTTGTAAGAAGATTAGCCACTTCGGTCATTTCCTGAGGTCTTTGCCCCTGCCTGGAGCACACTCCCTTGCCCTGGCCTTGCTGGTGAGCATTGAGCCTTCCCTGAGACTCTTTCCCACATCACCTCTTGTGAGGCTTCCTGTACCCCAGCCCTGGTATCTCCCCCACCCCACCCCTGACCTTGCCCATTAGGGAAATAAATCATGATATATGAACTCCCTGTTTCTACATCTGTTGCCTCTAATCTGTGGGTCCTTGCAGGGAAGGAGGGGAAGACAAAGGTTTGCTGAGTGAAAAAGACGAAGATGCATGGGAGTTCCCAACACATGGCTGCCATGGATTTGCCATTTGGTTTCAGATTGTCTGAACCTAAGTAGACTTGCTGACTAATGTTCTGGCAAGAAGGGAGGGAGAAATGGAGTAAGGAAGGGAGGATGAGCTGGTTGGGTGTGGCCAAGTGAAGTTAAACAGACTTCTTGATTCCACAAGGACTTTTTAGAGAGCCAAAGACATTGTAAGTCTACCCTATAAGATTATCTTCAGCATTTCCCAGTCTTGCTTGGCCATAGAACCCTTTTTCAGGGTATTTGGTGGGACTGTTTTATGGCACCCACTTTGGGAACCACAGATCTAGTCCAATCTCTTAATTGTGAAAGTGATAGACTGCATTTCAGTGAGATGGAAGAACTTTCCCCAAGTGCACACCACATCTTAGTGACTAAGGCAGGTCAAGAATCTCAATCTCTTGGCTCCCAGGTCAGCCAGCCCAGTTCCTACACCATGCTCCATCCCTGGGGAGCATGCATGGGCTTTGTGACCAGCTCTTTCTCTACCATTGAGACTCAGCCTCTCCTGGTGATGAGTCCCAGAATAAGGGTCTGCATGACATCAAGATCTCTCCAAACATATGGCTGGTGATATCAACTAGGAGTGCCAGCCCTCTTTGTCCTCTCTTCTGTGAGGCAGGAGTGGGGAGAAGGAGTTTGGAGCTCAGGTCACCAATCATAACACGATTGTCCAGCTGCTCAAACAGCTGTCCCAGCCTCCAAATGACCCCCTTACTTCAACAAGGACCTCATGATCACACTCTTGAGATGCCACAGTGAGAATAAAGCATGCTCAGTCTAGACCACCTAGAGAGTTAGCAAGGACATCTCATTGATAATGCAGGAAGATACTGATTAGGAAGTGGGGGATATGGGTCAGGTCAACTTTAGTTTTATCTGCAGATTGAACTTTTCAGGAGATGTAGTCCCTGTATAATTAAAAATAAATTCATTTTTAAAAAGAAGTCAGGAGAGGGACAACCCACTTTCTGGTCCCCCTTCTGTGACTCTTAGACCGAAGCTTTCTCTCTCTCGATAAATTTTTCCTACTCTTAACCTCCATTGTTCCTAGAATTCATTCTTTGATTTTAGAGGACATGAACTCACGTTTTGGATATCTAGTAGGTTTGGGAGTGACATCTCTTCCCCTATATCATTTTGGAGGTTCCACCAAGATTACTGGTCAGAGGTAAGAGTTTGCTTTTGTTCCATAGGTTTTAACTTTGGCCTTTTTGCTTCATAGATTGTTACTATTAATTTCATAGGCTCTGGCTACTTGTTTCATAGATTCTGGTTTTTGTTTCATAAATTCTGGCCTTTGTTTTGGCTTTTGTTTCCAAAGTGTCTTAATTTTAAGCTGTATATTTTAAATGTTTACATTTCTTGTTTTTCTTATGTATTGTCTTTTGTTAAAATTATGTTATATTCTTGTTTTGTATGTGTTGCATTTGGACTTAGTTGCTTAAAAATGTTGTAAAATGGGTCTCTTATGAAATCGTCTCAGATAAAAACAGTTCAAGCTTTTATCTGTCACTTATAGAATGCCAAACAGTGGTTACTCTGCCAGCTAATAATTGCCTTTAGGGCAGCTGCCACTCTCAAAGCAGAGGACAGGTTTCCCTGGTTGCCCTCTGGTGAATCCTCACTCCCTTTGACACCGATGGCAGGTGGAAGGTTGACCAGATAGGCAATTGGGTTCCTTTCAGAGACAGATCTCTGATTGAATGGAACTAGTAGAAACTGAGGTGACAACTGAGGGGTCATGGCCAGGGCTACTTTCTGGGGGATACCCAAAGGTCCCTCTGAAGAAACTAGCTCCTGACAGCCCATCTGGGTAATCAGCAGAAAATCTCCACATCTTGTTCGTAGCTGGACTCCTCAGTGAGGTGAAAGGGGAACTCTGTCAGTGATCATCAGATATCCTCTGTCTCAGAGTGATCTGAAACAATGCCATCAGAACCCTTCCTTAAGCCTCCGTTAAGAGTTGAGCTACAGGTTTGGAGTGCTTTCTCTACTGCTAGTAAGACCTATAGACAAATGTACAAAACAAATATTTGATAGAGTAAAAATACCTGAACCTTCTCTCCCACCTATGCATGGTCTTCATCATTTATGTGTGTAGGGGAGAAAAATGCCTTTTCTGATAGATTATGGTCTTTGGAACATTGATTGTGGACTTATAAAATGCTGTATCATAAGTTTTGGGGATGTTTATCCAGCTTGAACTTCATTTGAGCTTTTTCTCTCTGCTAGTGAGTTTAAAAATCCACTTAAACGTTTCTCCAACTTGTTGGGAGTTCATTTGAAAATCCCTTGTAGTCAGACCACTCCTCCTTCCAGAAAGTCAGATTAAGGCAACTCAAAACAACTGTTTTGTCTTACATGAGGGAAAATAGCAATCAGTAACATGCATTTGTGCTTTTACTAGTTAACTAGAATATGGAACTATCTTAGCCAGCCTTTCTCTTCATTCATGCATGCATAAGAAGTTGATAAGAGTGCCTTTACTATGAGATTGTGGCTGCTAGGAGGACCTATGAGTTTCAAATACTTAGTGAAATTAAAATGGACCTTAAAGGAGTAGTCTTGTATTGCTGCTAATAAAAGTTGCCTAAATGACTGGACAGACAACAGAAATTTCTCAGAACTTTCTCTGCCCTAGGGCCCAGGACAGAATCTGATTTACCATCTCTGAAGGTGATCTCTTTTGCAGGAAAAATACACTAATTTGACTGTTGACTTATTTTCCTCTCTCTCTTTCAAGGAACTAGATAGCAGTGGTTTAAATCTCTTGGTTTGATAGCAATACTTCCTTCTCTAAACATGATTGTTATGACTGAAGTCAATTGTAACTTGCGCTTTGAGAGTACCTACTGGAGTAAGGATATGAGTTCCCTGAGGGAGATAAGATCTTGTGCTGGTAAGGGGTAGATAGTGTAGTCCAGTTTTATTTTCTGGTTCCCTCTCCAGATGGTAGCTACCTACCCTGGAGTGGTATAAACCTTGTGGGACGCCCTGGGGGATGCCCTAGGGAGCACAGGAATCAAGCAAAGACTTATGGGATGCCATATTTGTTTCTCTTGTTTCAAATTAGGACTCTATATCTGAACCTCTTACTCCTTTGGAATATATTAAGGAGCAATTTAGTATTTCTCTACACCCGCGTGTGGTGTGCCTACCTCCTAAAGCCAAGTACACAGAGAAAAGTACTATGATGCTATCTCACAATTAGAATTATACTGTAAAAGAGAGAAAATGGTCAAAACCATCTTCTGTTGAGATTTTCTTTACATTAAGAAGTAATTCTTGCTTGTGTTCAAATGTAAATGTGGGCCTTAGAAAAATGAGAGACCTCACCCTTAAGGCATTCAGTACCTCTAAGCCTGAGGCTACTCCTTGCCCTAACCACTAGGTGCTGAGGGTAGAATTTGTAGGCCAGACATAATTAATCTCTATGAGGCTAGATCCATCCTTAGCTAAATTGTTCAGGTCCCTCAAAGACAACATGTCTTGCAGGAAGTAAATGGCAAATATGGGACTGCCTGTGTTCATGTGTCTTTTTTTCTCAGCAATCTAAGACAGATCAGATGAGACCTAAGAAAGTTTTCAGATGATCCTGATATGTACATTGAAGTCTTTAGAGGACTTACTCGAGACCTATGGACTAGATTAGAAAGATGTAATGTTGCTCTTAAATCAAATATTAATTTCTAATGAGAGACAAGTAGTATTACAAGCTGCTACTAAATGTAGAGACAAATATTATCTAATTTTGGAAGCTCAAAAGACAGGCAGCCAGAGGAACAACTGGTTCCTACTGGAACACAAGCAGTTCCTATACAAGACTCCCACTGGCCTGCCAATCAGATAGGAGATTAAATAGAAGACATTTTCAGGCATGTATTCTTGAAGGTCTGAGAAACATGAGAACTAAGTCTTTCAATTATTTGAAATTGTCAACTATTTATGAGGAAAAATAGGACATCTCAACATCCTGATTTGATAAAAGAAAATACTATAGTTTTTCCCAAGTCACAGTCTTGCAATATGTGGATAGTATGCTGTTATGTGCCCCCTCAGAAGTGCTTTCTAACTGAGACATCTGCTCTGCTAAATTTTCTAACAGACAGGGGTTATAATATTTCTAGATCTAAGGCACAGCTTTGCAGCTTTGAGGTAAAATATTTAGGCCTTATTATATCTAAGAACCCAAAGACTGGGGGAAAGAAAGAATTAAACCAATTCTTTCCTTTCCACAGACCAAGACCCTAAAACAGCTAAGGAGATTCCTGGAAATTACAGGTTTTTGTGACCTTCAGATAGCAGGATATAGTGAGATTGTGTGACCCCTCTATTAGCTTATAGAAAAACCCAAAAGACAGACACCTGGGGACCTCATTCCCAGACTGCACTCTAGAAGTTCAAACAAGCACTTCTAAGTGCCTAACTACAGGATACCATTTCAGTTTGTATGTTAATAAAAGGTGAGACATGTCTTTGGGAGTGTTTCTACATCAGGGAGCTAGCTGCTCAACAGCCTGTAGGATATTTCAATCGTAAATTAGATATTGCAGATTCAGAGTAATTCATTGAAAGGGTAAGCCCTAAACAATATAGTTAGAACACTTTCATTCTCTTTCAAGCGGCAAAAAGCAGCCATTTGGGTTCTTTGCTTATTGGTTTGATTTTTCTGCTTAGCAGTGTGGTGGGAGTCAATCATAGCTTTTGTCTCTGGAGACATGTTTTGCTAAGGATTGCAGATCCACTCTGGAAAAGCTCCTGAACTTAACTGTCCTTCTACACCTGAGATGGCTAAGATTTAGTTTTTGTGCCATACTTAAAGGCACTCTTCTCTCCCTTCTCCATGGCCCTGCTCCTGAGAACGCGGTTTGATTCAAGGTACTTCCCTTTTCTGTGGCTGCTGGATTTCAAGACAAAGCTTCCAGAATGGTGAGTTTCCCCTCCCTGGAATCCTTTCAGAGTAAAGCTGACCTTCATTTATCAGTGGGCTAAATAGAAAATTGGTCTAGATTTAATCCTGAAATTCTCAAAAGATAAATGTAAAAGTTTTAGTTCAGATTTATCTGTCTTTCAGCCCTCCAGCAAAACTAGAGAAAGGTAAGAACAGCTAACCTGGCTCTGGCCACTTCCTTGCACCTCTAGCCAGCTGCCACTGGCACTGGACAAGATAAAGTCTAAGGGACACCTTAGATTGGGCACAGAACAAGAGGGATAGACAGGGATGCCTTCTTTTCCTGTTTCTTTTCAAAATGGGAAAAACTGTCATAGGTAGACATCTGCAGCACAGCAGGTTGGAGCCTTGGCAGGACTTCTCCCCGCACTGCTTGGAATTCACACTTAGCTCCAAAGAGTGTCACCTGGTCTCTTCTACATGCAAACCTAGCCTGAGCAGACCCCACTGGAGATAGTTAAAATTACCTTTAACAATTTGTCCCTTTAGAGGGAACAATTACATGTGGCTATTAAACAACTGTGGCTATAAAAGCAACCATGAGAAGCCTATGTAGCTGGGTATTCCAGTCAGATAAATTGGCAGCTTAGGGCTCATCTTAAAATGATCTTTGCTTTCACAGATGTAGAAGATTTTTATTACAAAAGATCTCTGTTAATTGATCTATAAAGTTCTGACTAGTCTTTTTATAGTTATAAACCCAAAAATTATAAAAGTCATTATAATTCAACTTGGCCAAATACATCTGAGTGCACTCTGGTTTATAAACAAGTTGTCTTATGTGTGTGTCTGTTTGTCTGTTCAATTTGTTACAATATGTACAGCTGTTATGTTTGAGCTTCTTTCTTTTGGCATTTTGGATTTTTTAAGATGTTTGCCTGTAACTCAAGTTGGCTTATAGATAAATTTAATTAAAGACATGGTTCGCCCAGGTTGCCAGATGATCCAAATAATGTCAACTGGTTTTATAAATACAGTACATATTGTTGTTTATGTATAACTTGGGAATTTTTCATTGGTCAAAATAATGTGTTAATTGTTATGATCTGGCTCTCACAGGTCATCTAAAAATTTGTTAAGATAATTAAAGACTCTTGGGCTTAGGAAAACTATGGGACAGGAGTCCCCTTGGTAAAGAAACAAGCAGCTGCCTGGAAAAAATTTATTCCAGCCTTTGTTCACAAGGTGGATCCCAATAATTTCCATAACTTTGTGGAAAATATGTCGCTAAACATATCATTGTGATAGGTATACGTTGGTCATGGGCTAAGTTTTCTGTGAAAAAACAATAAGGTTTTCTTTAAAATGTTCTTGGTACAAAACAAAATTAAATATAAGGGGTTTCATGTAACTGGTATTCATTGTTATTTCATGGAGTATTAAATATCATTCATGCTGTCTGGGTGTACAGGTCTTCTAAGATATTGTTTATAGTAATGATCTTTTTTGACTCACGTATCTGCCTTTCTCTTACACTCCAGCTACTTGTGATAAGAGGTACATGTCAAGCCAGCATGAGAAAACCAGTCAAACAATAGTTTTCTTAAAAACTTATGTTATATATGTTATATGTGTCACCACACTTAGGGATGTTCAGTCACCAAACAGTTGAAACAATCACACTAAAATTAGAGGGTAGACATTATGAACTCCTAAAATACATTTATAGGCCAATATGTATGTTCTCTTTAGATGGCATCCTACTAAAGGATAACAAATAAGAGTTTTCTTTATGTCATTTAATGTCTTGTGATCAGATGAAGGTGTTTGACTGAAAGACTATTCCATACTAAGATAGACATGTAAGTGCTACAAAGACAATGTCATCATGATTTTCAGGCTAAAATACTATGTGTGGCTCTCGGTTTTAAGTTTCTCTATAATATATAACTATTGTCTGTTAACATTCTACAGAGATTCAACTACTAAAACAACCATGGTTGGTAAAAAATAACAGCCTTCTAACTGTGCTTTATACTTCAAAGGTGCTTGATGTCTTAACTATTATAATAGTTAAGCTCACTGCTCCTACTAAAATACTTATGTCACTGATCTTCTCTTTTGGGAGTTCAACAACTAAAGTTTGGAGACCAAAACTAGAAAAGTAACTGGGCTAAGAGGACAGCCAATATTTTGGCCCTGGCCCCTCAAGATCAACAAAGATTCAGGACACAAAGGAACCTTTCCTACAGGATCCTACATCTTTGGTAAGTCACTCAACCTCCTGAGTAGGGAGATTGCTGGGCACCAGCTCTATGCATGGTTCCAAAGTAATGCCTGAGGAGACTTAACTGACCTTGATAGATAGCAAGAGGTTCATACTGATTGACAGGTCTCACTTTAACTTGGTCTTAAACACCCAGCAGAAAACAATAACCAAAAGAGGGATAAAATAATGCCATAGTAATAAAGCTAGACGTAAAAAGGGGCTGCAGTCACTGACCCCTTCTGGCAGTTTCCAGCTCTACCAGTAGCTGACCATGATTATGTAACATTAGAAAAAAAAAAAAAACTGTGGTAAAATCTATAAGACCTCAGCTAGAGTTTTATATTTCTTAGTGAAATTTGTTCTTCAAATTGTGTCTTCTTACAGCTGAAACTAGAGAGACTTATGACAAAGTATCAGACTTATAGATAACCTCTTATCAATGAAAGAAACTGAGTCAGCAGGTTACAATCACTATTACAGTATCTAAACGTAACTTTCTCCCCAACCTGCCCTTCCATTCTAGTGTGCTCATGCTTAGGGTATACATGCTGTAATTTCTTAAAAGTTTTGTTTATTCTTGCCTAGAGGCTGCCAAACTCCAAGCAGTCATACAAATGGAACCAATGACAAATGTGCTAGACTTCTTTTTCGGGATTCACCAGATCGACCTTGTAAACAGCTCATAACTGCTAAACTATACAATATGACTTCTATGTTGGCTTCTGAAGTCCCCTGGACCTTCTCCTTATCCTCTTTGTGGGAGGCTATTACTAGTTCTTCCCAGTGGAGACCCTTGTTGGCTATGTTCATAGCAATCCTGCTGACCTTATAATTTGGCCCATGTATTAACTGTATCTTTGGCTTTGTCTCCTCCAGTCTCAAAGCTTTACGGCTACCAAGATGACAATGCCTGGCGCCTATCGAAGGCCTTCAGATAGACTGTAAGAGTAACTCTAACTGCTGATCACAACTATGACCCTCTTCAGCTGGGAGTAGCCAGAACTGTCTTCACCCTTTGCCCCCTCACAGCAGTTAGGGGTGCTTCTTCAGAGGGGGGAATATTATAGATAGGTAAGTTAATTAGATGTCTTGTTGCCAGGTTGACAGGGCCTCCTTTAAGGCACCAGCTCTACAGGAGCCAACACAGCAAGGAACCATCATGGAGAACAATTGAGGCACATATACTGGTTAGCATTATAAAAAGGAAAAGAAGTAATACTTCCCCTAGAGATAGATAGCAGTGATTGATATTCTAAATGGGAAGTTCATTGTATGTGACTTGTCTTCCCATTTGATCCCCATTTAATCAATATTACCTGGGTGACTGTACTTGTAATCTTACTGGTTGGTCATAGTTTTGTCCCACCTTATGCCCACCTTATAAATTTCCATTGGGTCTTATAGTTTTGTCCCACTTTGTACCCACCTCACCACATGGCTTTGCTGTATAAAACATCTTTAAAAAGTGTGGGGGGGACCCACTTTCTGGTCCCCCTTCTGTGCCTCTTAGAAGCTTTCTTTCTATCAATAAATTTTTCCTACTCCAAAAAAAAAAAGAGAAGAAGGGGCCGGGGATTTAGCTCAGTGGTTCTGCCACCTGCCCCGCAAGTGCAAGGATCTGAGTTTGATCCCTGGTACCAAAAGAAAGAAAAGAAGTCAGGAGATATCTTGACCATAAGAAAAAGTGGAGAAATAGAATTTAGAAGGAAATATGCTCAAGTATTCATATCAATTGTCTCTGGAAGGTGAGACTTTTTAAAAATTGGTCCAGACTTTCTAAAATTTGTACACATAGCATTTTCCTAGGTAATCAGGAAAGCAAAACAATCAGCTAAACGAGAAAGAGCTAAACAAACAAATAAGGGAGCCAATGGACACCTGGGAGCCAACATCATCACATTATGCTCAATGACTATACACAAATATTATGTATTAATTAAAAATAAATTGTAGAAATTAATTCTTTTAAACAGGAAGAACTTGCATCAATAAGCTTCAGATGAAGTTCTCAGGAATGCTATTGAGGTAGCATTCCTCAAATGTACATTTAACATGCCCAGCAAACAAGGAGCCACCTGGTCCCCAACCCATGTGCCCCTGAACATGCATGGACGCCCACGCTCACCATTCATTGCAGGCATAAATGCCAGGTCAAAAATCTTCTCGACCAGCATCTCCATGAGGCCCACCTGTGGGGAAACAATGAAGACTGAATCCAGGCAGGGGGTTCACCCAGCTGGGAAGCGCCTCTAGGGATCTGTCCCTGGAGCCCAAGATGAAGACCCCATGTTACTGTGGGAGAGTCTAAGATCTCTAACCAGCAGAGCCTGAGCTCCAAAACCTCTCAGGTGACAACCAGTGGTACCTGGTCCCCTCGTCACTACAGGTAGGGAGGCTAAGGTTCAGAGGAGTCCAGCCCTGGTGCCAACCCTTTGGAATTCACACTCTTGTCAACCCCGCCAAGCTCATAGGGATGTCATTCCCAGTAGCTCTTCCCAGCCTCTGTTCACAGAGGAGATCTCCCTAGGCCCTGAGGGTGATACTTACATCAAAGTTGCCTACATTTGAGGTTTTGAGGTTGAGGTTGGTCCTACAGATAAAGAAAACAGCCTATTAGAAGCAGTGATCCCTCAGAATCACAAGGCACTTGTATTTCAGTGGGCCATCAGAAGCTATCTACCAAAATCCTCTAGAAGACCCATGTCCTGGGGGAATTTATAAGAACAATGCTGGTTTCCATCTAGTGAGCACTAACTATGGGACAGATGTGATGCTAAGGGCTTTCCATGTAGGCAAGGCTGAAATCGTAACCACTCACTGTGTGGCATGCCTGGAACCTGCAATCTCTGCTGCTGTGCTATTCTGAGAGGGGAGGCCTAGCCTCAAGGTCTTGTTCTGCACTGTGACAGCCTCAGTCTCACTGCACCTGGATCTCACCTGAGAGGCTAGACAGTACAACCTGAGAGGCTGGACCAGACTCAGCCAGGGGGTAGAAAGTTACTTGAGACCACTCAAAAGGATCAGCTTCGTGCCCAGCCAGAGCGTCACAAAGGAGCCTCCATGTTGGGTGTATTTTAGGGTGTATTTTATTCCTTCCTGACTTCTCATTCCTTTTCCAAACATCTTTGCTAACTTGGGCCCCACCACTCTCCCTGCCGGAAACCCCAGCTCTTCCAGTGGCTGCTCCTTCTCCTCTGGGCCTCAAGCTTTACACTGCTGCCACAGAAACTCCTCAGTGGCCATGACAAATATCATTTCATGAGTGTCCCCACTGTTGGGCTTAATAAACATTGCTGTAAAAAGAAAATCTTACAATCACTTAAGAACATGCCAAATATTTGACATATGATCTTATTAATCTTGAAATGGAAATAATAATAGTACTTCTTTCCATAGTTCAATGTCAAGAATTAAATGAAGACACATCTAGAACTTAGCTCAGTGCCTGGCACATAGAAGGCATCTAACAAATAATAGCTATTATTTTTAGAAATCTTATGAAATAGGAAACTATTGTCCCGGTTTTCAGATGAGAAAACAGAGTCAACCAGAAAGTCACTTGGGCAACATCAAACAGCAAGTCAGTGGTCACATCAAGATTTGAACCCATACTGCTGGACTCTAAAGCCAGTACTGGTAGCAGGTCTCACAGACCAGGGTCAGTTCTAGTCCCTCTCTGTGCTTGCTGTGTGTCCTTGAGTAAGGAAATCCACCTCCCTAAGCTGTCATTTTCTCACCTTCAAAAAGGCAGCAAAATAGCCCTGATTTCACAGGTCCTTCAGAAGGATACAACCTATATGGACAAGGACCAAGAGCAGAGCCCTGGTACACCATCATTATTACTGATGCCACTGCTGCTTCCCAAGAAGTTCTGTTTTGTTCAGTGCATGGCTTCACCCCATGGCAGGCCCCTGATGCAGTGTTGGCAGGCACAGGGCATTTTCACCTTTGCAGCCCTCACAGCCATTTGGGCGGCCCCTAATCCCTCCCTGGTGGCCTCTACTCCTTCCCTGGATGTGAGCCAGCCACGGCCACAGCAGCACCAAGACACCTTTCTGAGGAGCAGGAATCCAAGGCAGGAAATCCTCTTACTTGTCCAGCTTGGCATCAATCATGAGCTTATCCCCATCCACAGAAAATGAGGCCAAGAGGTCTGTGTCCTGGAGGAAAGGAAAAGAAAGAAATGTCACTGCTATCATGTACAGGTCATAGTTGCTGAGGGCTCGCTGTGTGCCTTTTGCTGGCCCTGTGTACAGAAGCTGTTCCCTGAGGCCTTGGCCATGCTTCCTTATATTATATAAGCAAGGGGCTTGCGATAGCACTAGCCATATACTAGATCCCTCCACCATGGGGAGGAGTTGGGAGCAACAAGCAGCCAACATTAACTGTTGTTTGCAAGTTATTCACAGAATGGGCTGGGTAAACATTTCTCAGAAAGACAAATGCCACAGGATTCCCATGCTTGGCCCTGTGGATGTTTACCATGACTCTCTGAGATCCCTTTAAGAAGAGAGGGAAGTGGCTTGTAGCCTATGAAACTTTCTCTAGGTGAGCCACTCCAGATGGGATTGGGCATCACGGCTGCCAATCATAACCACCCAACCTTCTAGGAGAAAGCATAAAAGGTCCAGACCTATCCCCCTCTTCCAGGAGGAATTTTGTAGGAAAATTCTTTTTGTTTTCTTGGACCACATCTAATTTAATTTAATTTGATTTAAAAGTTAGCCTTACGAAAATAAAACCAAGCTCCCAACAAATTCAAAAGTGGTATTAGTAACACAATAACAAAGATCGCATGATACAGAAGAACTGGGGTTCTGGGTGCCTGTGGCAAGGACCTAAGCTGGTACTGGAAATCATCCTTAGGGAAGGGTTTGAATGGAGGACTGAAGCATGTGTACAATTTGACCAAATAAAAAAGAGAGTGAAAGAATAATCCAGACTGTGGGCAAGGCATGTGCAAAGCCCTTGGGGAAGGAAAGAGGGAAGGATTAATAGGTTAGAGAGGAGACTAGAGAGTGGATTGTATGAGGCTAGAGTGGAATGGAGCCAAACCAAGCAGAGCTTGGGGCTCTGCTGCCCTGATACAATAGGGAGTTCTGATGATGGGCTCTCAGCTGGCCCAAAGCTTGGGCTATTGTTGGAAAGTCACACAATAAGGGCTGATCAATGGGTGCAGAGTGGGCAAGAATTGGTCCTTCTGATCTTTCATCAAATGATGGAAAAAAAAATCCCACACCCCATAGCCAGCCAAGAACACCCATTTCTCCAACCTGAAGTGGCTCGTTTCATCTCAATAGGGACTGGGAAGACATAGAAGATGGGGCTAGGGGTCTGAACCCAAGGGTCTGTAGACTTACACAAAGGAAGATGGCACTTACCACTTCACACATGGCAACATATCACTTAACACGTGTGATATGTTTAGTGAGCCCTACCATGTCCTGGGCCCTGTGCTATACTCTGAGGATCCAGCAGTGAAGAAATCATCCAAGTCTCTGCCCAGCAATAAACTATCAAATGTGGTGTTTTGTTTTGTTTTTTTGTACTGGGGATTGAACTCGGGTCCTTAGGCTTGCGCAACAAGTGGTGAAACCACTGAGCTAAATCCCAGGCCCTCAAATGTGTACGGTCGAGGCTACAAGCAAAGTAAATGAGAGAGAGAGAGAGACAGAGAGACAGAGAGAGGAAGACAGAAAGAGAGAGAGAGAGAGAGAGGCGGGGAGGACAGAGAGTAAAAGAGTAGGAAGTGATCCGGGAACATCTCTCTGAGGAGGGATGTTTGAGCAGAGGCCTAAAGGAAATAAGGGAGTGAGCCCTGCAGACATCCTAGGAAAGAAGATTCCACACCTAGGAAATAGCATGTGTGAAGGCCGGTCCTGACATATTGGGGGAGCATTGAAGAGCTGAGAGGTGAGCACGAGATGATCTTGCAGGACTTTACAGGTCATTTTCAGGAGACTGACTTCTATATGAAGATTTAAGGAAAGTAGGAGAGTAGTATAATTCATATTTTAAATGGATTCCTCTAAAATAACTTCTAGTGTCCTATAACATAGTAGGGTGACTACAGTTAACAATAATATGTTATACATTTCAAAATAGCTAAAAGAAAGAACTTTGAATGTTTCCAGACATACACACAAAAAAAATGTTTGAGGAGATGGATATGCTAATTACCCTGATTTGATCATGATACATTGTATGTGTGTGCTGAAACATCTCATGGTATCCCAAATCTAGGTACAATTATTATGCATCAATTAAAAATGTAAAGAAAGAGAATTCTTCTCTATGAAATAATTGTGGAAATTGTTGTATCTGGATCTGTTCCCTGTTGGGTGCCATGGACAAGCGAGTAGGTACCATCTGTCTTGTTTCTTTCTTCCTGGAACGTAGTAGGAAGCATAACACACAGTAGTTGCCCAACAAATATTGCTGAATGAATGACCTAGGTCAATTCTGCCATGCACCATGATATACAACCCCTGAGAATGACAACAGCCAGCACTTGGGGAGTCTTTACAGTACATCCAATACTGCTCTGAGCATCTTATTAATACTGATGACTTGAGGCCAAACCCATGTAGTAGAGGAAAAAGCAGGCCCAGAGACAGGGAGTGACCTGCCCAAGGTCACACAACCAGAAACGGTAAAGACTGGATATTAATCATCCAAGCAGTCATTATGGTGGAGACTGTGGGGATCTGAAGGGGCCTGGGGGCTTCCAGAGACCATGAGGCTCTATCTTAAGGCCCAGCTGGGGGCCAACAACACCCCAGACACTTACCACGTCAATGAGGCAGATGGTGGTCTCTACATCATTGGGCTGGGAGACCACGACCTCGGAGGTGGCAAACACCTTCACCAGTGCCTTGTCCTTCTCCAGTGTCACTGATGGTGGGTTGGGGACCTGGATCTTGATGGTGAGTGGGCGGGATTCAGGGTACTGCTGGAACACCTGTGAGAGGGCATGGGGCCAGATGAGTGAGCCCCTTGGCAACAGGGGGCCAGGAGGTTGTCAACCAATCTTCAAAGCCAGAGCCCAGGGAGTCTCTGAGTAGCTTCAGATCCAACATGTCTGGAGTCCTACAGGCCTCAGGCAAAGCCACCAGCCCATTGTGGTACAGGGGATGGGGATGTAATCCCTGAGTCACTTGTAGGCTGTTGTAAGAATTGAATGGGACAGTGCTGGGAGCTCCAGGCTCAACCCTTGACACATGGATGCTCAGACCTGGCACTGAGCCAACTGGGGGTCTCATGGGCTGCTGGCCCATGACCTGAGTGACAGCCTTGACAACTCTTGGGGTACATTTTTTTTTTTTGGTACCGGGGATCAAACTCAAGTCCTTGAGCCTGCAAGGCAGGCGACGGAACCACTGAGCTAAATCTCCGGCCCTTCTTGGGGTACTTTTTCTCCAGGCTACAGATGAGAAGACTGAGGCTCTGAGGAAAATGTCAAGTAAGATGTCCAAGGCCACCAGGGAGGCTGAGGTTCCAGCCCAGGTCTGTGTGACACAGAGCCCCGGCCCTTTGCCACCCTTCCTACAGTGAGAAAGTCCATGCCTCTGGGGATCTCACCAAGATGTCCCCAAGCAAAGCCCAGGCTACCCATCCTGCCTGAATTCACCAGGTCCTAGGACCCACGGGGGAGGGAATGGAGCCTGTTTGCTGCAGACTAAGCCCAAGAGCTATTTGCTAAAGGCACCAAATGACCAGTTTGTCATGTTTAATGATAACTGATTTACCATGCAATTGATTTTAAGGAGTTCTCTTCTTAAATATATCAAATGAGTACAAAGATGCCCCGTTTGTATGGAAACTTCACCATGGGCAATGCTGCAGCACGGTGCCTGGCCCTGAGACTTTGTTCACTTTCCTGAGCACACGCAGGATGAAATTCTTTTGTACAAGCTCCTGGTCAGAGTAAAAATCTTGTGCATTCTGCCATTTGATCACTCTGCAAATTCACCCTTTGGCAGATTGGCTTTCAACAAGTCAATTATTTGACAGATTAGCTTTTCCTAAGGTGACTTCCAGTACTTCCTGGGGGGCACCTGGGGTCCCAACCATCACAACAGAGAAGCAGCCTCCTCGGCCCCAGACCTGGTCGGGCCTCTCTGGGTAACGCTCCCTGACCTGAGTCCCCAGAACACAAGGCCAGGGTCTAGCCTGAACCCATGGAGTCTGACCAATAGCCATTCCAAGTCCTGAGTCCTTGCTCCAGCCCAGCTCTGCCACTGCCTCTGAGCCTGTTTCCCCATGTGTAAAATGGGGTGCTTGTCCCTCCTTGCCCTGTGGGAGGACTACTAGAAACAAATAAAAGAATGGATTCTAAGAAAATTTTCTAAGCTGTAAAATGCAGTGTGCCCAGGAAGTGATACAGTGAAGAAAGATCTTCCAACATCCCAGAGCAGCTCCTGCTTAGGTTTCTGGAGAACGGTATGCCTGTTGTTCCTCCCAAGATCACATGAGGGCGATAGCGGCCACTTGTTGAATTTGACTCTGCTCCTGCTTCTGAATTCCACACTGGAGACGAGAACGGTGGAAAGAGGGCAGAAATGCTCCAAACAGATGTGGATGCAGACATCCTTCACCTTGAGAATACTTCCTACATGAAGAGCTCTGCCACAGGGCACAGGACCATTGCCCTGGAACCAGGGCTGGTATCAGAAAGATTTTTGTTCCATCTCTATGAACAAGAGTGAATTTGCTCTAGTCTTTTTTTTAAAAAAAAAATTGTAGTAATCAATAATAATAGTAGTAGTTAAAGCTCTGCCCTTGGATTCCAGACTTCAGGTCCACAGCCACGCTAAAGGGTGAGCATGGTTGTCCTCATTTTCCAGATAAGAAATCTGAGGCTCAAAGTGATGGCATCATTTGCATGTGGTAATATGGCTGGGATGCGCTGGGCCGTATCTGTCATCTCTAAAGATCTAGCTCCTTCCCTCTAAGGCCCCACATGCCTGTGTGCCTGGCTCTGTGCTGGCCTCTTTTCCTGCATCATCCCCTCCACCCTCCCAGATCACCTGAGCCCGTGGGAGGGTGTCAGCATGGTTTGGTTGACCAATGAGGACAGTAGGACTTGGAGATGTTAGAACTTGTGTCACAGTCACACAGCAAAGGAGTGGCCGGGCAGGGATTAGACCTGCACAGGCTGGTCCACTGCCAGAGTTCAGGATCTGTCCACCCCCCTCCCTCCCTCCATGTGCTCCTCCCAGGCAGGGTCTGTTCTTCATGCCTTTGTCACTGCACTAGACAGGGAGGTGAGACCCATCACCCTAGTGCTGAGCACCTTTCCTTCCAACCAGGTCAGGGGAGGGAGGCTGGAGACAATGGCAGCGCCCTCCTTACTTACGCACCTTGGGAATCAGGGCCCCCAGCGTGGACGTGGTGAGTGGGGGAAGCTCATCAAACTGCAGGAGAAGGACAAGGATCACGTGAGTGCTGAGGTGACAGAGGCACAGCCGTCAGACTCCCACATGCTCCGAGACACCACGGGGCACCTTCTTTCCCTGAATGACCCCTGGGGAAGCTCCACCTCCCAACAGCAGCCAAGTGGGTGCCGGCAGCTTAGAGTCACCACAGGCCTGACTTGAAGAACAGGAGGTAAGACCTGAGTCTTCCTTCTCTGCTATGCAATTCTTTGGTAAAGCAGGGTGCACATCATCGAGTCCATTTGCACAACCCAGTGTCCACTGAACCTTGGCTTCTGCCATGTCCCCACACCACTTGTACCGTTACTTACTTTGTGTATTCCACAAACAGGCTTACATGTAAAGACCTAAGATATAAAACAATGGAAATCCAGTGCCACTTGGCTGTCATAAAATCAATGCGGTGTGAAGAAGCATGGATATTGCATGGATATAGCTGGCTGTGGAGTCATTGCATGACTGAGTGCTGTTCTCCCTCAGTTAAAAAGGGGGTGCTTAGAACTGCAAGAGAGATAACTAAACCCTGGCACTTAATGGATACGTTCTCCTCAGTGGAATCAAAGATTGCCACAATTTGTATGATGCTCTTTTGGAGAACACTTTGTCCTTAAGAGAAACAGTGAGGTTTATGGGGCAAAACATCATAAGCAAAACGTCAGATGGGATGGATGGCTAGATGAATGGGGGAGATGGATGGATGAGTGGATGGATGGGCAGACAGACGGACAGAGAGTGGATGGGTGGATCAGTGAGTTGATAGGTGGATGGATGAATGGATGGGTGGATGCTGGGTAGGTGGATAAATGACAGGTGGATGGATGGAAGGGTAGACCAGTAAGAAGATAGATGGATAGATAGGTAAAGGGTATGTGTGCATGAGTTGTGATTTTTTTGCAACTTTTCTGAAGACTTGAAAGTTTTCAAAAGAGTTCAGAGAGAAAATGACTGGAGCACACCTCAGGGTAGTATTATGTTCTTAAGTTACCTTTTCATGTGTGTGGTACTAGCAATTGAACCCAGGGCCTTTGCGCTGAACTTACATTCACACAGCCGTTTTTTACTATTTTATTTTGAGATAGGGTCTTGCTAAGTGACTAAGTTGCTCAGGCTAGGCTTGAACTCACAGTCCTCCTCCCAGGGTGCTAGGATTACAGGTATATGTATGTGAAACCATGCCTAGCTTCTTATGTATCTTTTTTCTTGGTACCGGGGTTCAAACTCGGGACCTTGTGCTTGTGAGGCAGGTGCCAGAACCACTGAGCTAAATTCCCGGCCCTGTATCTTTTAATTACTTATGTACTTGGTATTCACTTTCCAAGTGGAAGGATCCCAAACATTTATATTGAGGTACATACAAGTGAATATATGTTACGCTTTTTTAAAAAATATTGAAATAAAATCCAACAGACTTGAATTGAAGCAACATCCATCCTACCATGGGATGTTCAGCATCAAGCCTGTGAGCCAAGTGGAAGCCCTGAGCACCAGCTTGGGGAAACTGGATGTGACTGGTGCACATCTGAGACCCAGAGATGAGCCCAGGGGCCTGTCCATAGCTGGGGACTGAACAGGATCAGCAGAAGCCCAGGACTCACCATGCCGTCAGTGATGTCAATGTTCAGCGCCCCTTCCTTCTGCAGCATAGTCAGCACCTTGCCCAGGAAGTTAGCCGAGATGCCCAGCTGGGAGTTGGTATTGTCGCCCATGGGGGGCAGCTCTGGCATCTGCAGCCTGGGCGATAGAGCAGGCCGGCCCAGGGGGTAGTCGATAAGATCTCCTCCCGCTTCCGAAACCAGAGTCTGTGGCGGCAGAGAAGAAGTGGTCGTGGGGTGTGGGGAGGAGGGCAGAAGGAGGCTGAAGTGAGGCCAGAGTGAGCCTCTGGGTGCCTCTTTTCCATGGCCCCAGCTCTGCTTCAGATTGTGACCACGTACACTTCCTGTGCATCTGTGGCACAGCTTCTCAGCCCTGCCATGTGACAGCATGGGGGCGCTTCCATACGGTACACACTGGCACAACCCCTCTGTGATGGCCACAGTCCCAGAGACAGCCCACAAAGCTCTGTGGGCTCTGTCCCACGGGTGCTCAGGCCCCATCGAAGCCATGCAGCTGCACCTGCCCTCTGCAGTGAGGCCACCAGGACCTTGCCAGACCTCAGCCCTCACCTTGGCCTGGTCCTTCCTCAAAGCTGCTCCACCCTGCCAAGCACAAGGATCACCACCTCCAGGAAGCCCTCCTGCACCTGGGGATCCCATTTCAATGATTTTGCCTCTCAAGCAGCACTGGATCAATAACTGCATATTTATTCCAGTGATTCTTTTCAGCCTGGCCTCTCCAGTAGATCGGCATCCCCCAGGGCTGACTGTCTCACTCATTGCTACTCTCCCAGCTCCCATCCTGGGCAGAGCACCCAGTGGGACCCAGAAAGTGTCTGTCTCTGCAGAGTGGGTGTTTGTAAACATGTTACACATGCATATGCGTGTGCAAGGCAGATGTCTGTGTGCACATGTACTTTCAGCCCCTAGCAGCAGGTCCCCAGGACCCTTAGAATGCTGATTCCAATTCGCATGTTTCTTCCCAAGTTCATTTTCAGTGACGTTACATTGGTGGGTAGAAATTGGCCCTGACAGGAGCGTTTATGCCATGAACATCAGCAAATGCTGCTACTCAAGGCTTTATTTTTAACCATAGAGATCCAGTTGTTAAATGCACACCAGCCAAACCAGCCCCTAGCAGCAGCTCCAGAGCCGGAAGCTGGATCATCTGGGTTCAGATCTCAGGTCCACATTTACTAGACCTTGGGTGAGTGGGGTTTTTTTTTTTGGTACTGGGGATCAAACTTAGGACCTTGCCCTTGCAAGGTAGGCATGGCACCACTGAGCTAAATCCCCTGCCCTTGGGTGAATGATTTAACCCCTCTGCACCTCTGTTTTCTCAATAAGCGTGCTATAGTTTTGAGGACAGATTGACTGAATCTACAGGGAGCACTTACAATGTTCCTGGTCCACACTGAGCATGGGTGAGTGTCAGCTAGGACTATACTTCTTGATATGATTCCTAGAGGTCTTAGTCTAGTAGGAAAAGGGCCCTGTTCTCATATTGCTGGGGCCACCTTCACCCCTCCCAGGCCAAGTTGCAGGACTCACATTGAGGTCCAGCTCCAGGAACTCGCCGGTCACCAACGGGAGGCTTGAGAACGTATACTGCACACTTCCCAGGATGCCCAGTGGTATCAGAGCTGTAGGAAAAGGGGAGGTTGCAGGCTGTGCACTCTGCCACCCAGGTACCTTTCCTCCCTGAAAGCTGAGGAGCCTCTGAGTACATAGCCACCAGGGCAGAGCCTGGCTCACATCCACCTTCCCCAGGCCAGGTGGGGTGTTTGGGGCAGAAGGAAAGGAAGGGCAGGTGGGCACCCCTGCCACACCCACCCACATGGCCCTCCTCCCAGATGTTGTATCCCCAGGCCTGGCCCTGCGCAGCCATTAGTGACATCAGCCCAGTGCAGCCAAGCAGGTAGGACTTACAGTCCACGAGACCCAACTGGTCGTTGATGAGACCCAGCACCACATCCACGATGGGGCAGAGCTGTGGGGAGAAACGCCATGGGGTCGGTGCCATTGCAGGGAGTCAGGAAGGGGGTGCGCCCATAACAACAAGGGCAGCTCGTGTCTGAGACTGTTCCATGCCATGCTCTGTCCTCACCTTAGCCCCATGGGGAGCCTCTGTCCCAGTTCCCATCCTAAAGACCAGGAAACTGAGATGTGACTCGTCACGCAGCTCAGAAGAGTTCGAGCTGCGAGTGGAACCCAGAGCTGTGTGAAGCTCAGGCATCTCCCCCTTTCTCCGCCCATCTGTCTGTCCACATCTCCACGTCCTTCCCACACCCCAAGAACCTGCCCTGGCCCTGGCTCCTTCCATCCCTCTAGGTCACCTGTGTGCCCCTCCGGATAAAGGCAAGACTGTGGTCCCTCCTGCCCACTCTTACCAAGTCAGGGAGCACATTGGCCAGGACTCGGTTTACCAAGTTGTCCACGAGGTTGGGGAGAAGCCTAGAGAGAGAGGGGCAGGCTAAGGACCAGGCTTGCAGCCATGGAGGGTTCCCAGGGCAGGTTGAGCTGGGTGTCTCTGCCCAGCCCGGATACTGCTGGTCCTTAGCTGCAAAGATCGCTCCCTCCTTCCCGTCTCACCCTCTTTGCGGCTGTCTGCTGCAGTTCCAGGTAACCTTCCCAGAGGACAAGGGAGGGTGCTGCTTCATCCAAGCCAACAACACAGTACCCAGAGCATGCCAGGTGCTCAATGAATCTTTGTAGAAGAGACAGAAGGAGAAATTCTGGCCAAAACATGTGCTCTCATGATCCATATTAAAGGACAGTTTATTGTTACTAAAAAGATTGGGAGTGTGATCCGTTTTACAGGCAAGGATGCTGAGGTTCAGAGCAATGACCAAGAGCAAGTTCTAAGTATATTACCAAGCTCTTAACTGCCCCGCCTGTCCTGCTAGCTAAGGAGTGGGTAGAGCATAAACAGGCAAGACACATGGGTGGACAGACAGAAAGACCTGGATGCAAGGATTTGTTTTCAGGGCCCTGGAGTGATAAGCAGATGAGGGAAGTGTGACCAGGCTAACACAAAGAATCCCTGGTGGATTCACCCCTAGAAAACTGCCTCCCAGCTCCCCTGAACACAGCTGGGCTCCTCCTCTGAGATGGCAGCTACAGGGCTGTGCCAGGTTGGCAGAGCAAGGAATTCCTCCATGCAAAGTCCTGATGGAATGTCTCCCCCAGAGCTTACCGCATCTCAGGCCCCTTTAGGAGCATTCACCCTGGTTCCAGTTCTCCTCATATGGGAAGTCCCCAAGAACTCAAGCAGGTATATGCTGGGTGCCTGTGTGTGTGTGTGTGTGTGTGTGTGTGTGTGTGTGTGTGTTGAGGAGCAGTTTGCCATTAATCTGTGCATATTCAGAGCACAATTACTTTTTCCCTTCCTCAAGATTATCCAATAGATGCAAAGGGCCACATGTGAAATGACATCTATAAAAGCTTATTCGTTGCCACGGCAGCAGATTAGACACACTGAAATGCCCAGCTATACGGGGCTGGGTGCATAAATGATGGTTCATCCAGAGGATGGAACATTACACAGCTATGAACAATTAAACAAGGGTGCATTCAGTGTTTGGATACAGAGAATTCTCTGATGGAGTAAGTAAAACACAAAGTGCAAAGCCAGAGTTTAGAGCAGGTGCCCATTTGCAATAGAGGAGATGAGAATTGGAATCCACACTCATATTTGCTACATTTAAACAGGGAAGTTGGAAGGAAAATTAAGAACTGAGTCACCACAGTGGGCTTAGTGGGAAGGGGCAAAAGGACAGGATAGAAGGACATGCTTCATTCTGTGCCTTTTTTGTCACTTTACATTTTGAAATTATGTTACCGTCAAATATATTTCCGAGTGAAAATGTGATTTTAAAAGTCTGTGAAGCTCCTATGTTTTGAGCCCCAGGGCCCAATTTTCTCTACCCCCACCCACCTTGACATAGAAACAAGACAGAGAGAATCCCACGTGAGTCAGAAAGCTTAGGTTCACACTTCACAAGGGGCTTTTCCGCTCCCAAAGGCTGGATAAGCGGAGGGCGGCAGCACTGGACCAAGGGGTTGATAAGATAGGATGGAAAGCGGGGGACAGAGACCCCAAAAAAAGAGGCTGGAGAAGAGTCCCCCTCTCTGGGAGAAAGGGACTTGGCTCTGAGCTGTCCTGAGCATGTTTTTCCCGACCACCACTGGGGGACAGGGTGCTGGCCAGTACATGGACACGAGAAGCCTCTCAGGACAGAGGTGGCATCTTGGTCAATTTGTGGGGAATGTGTAGTAGAAAAAGCTCCCCCTGACTAGGGGTGCATGGACAGAAGAGCTGAGAAATGTCTCCATCGGGAGGGACACAGAAAGACAGATAACCACTCTGAGACATGTGCTATGGCTTAGACCTAGAATGTCCCCCAGAGTCTCGTGTGTTCTGAGGGGGGGCCTGGGAAGGCGACTGGATCTTGGGGAGTTATACTCAGCAGTGGATTGATCTACTGACCAGTTTAGTTGCTAAATGTACTGTTAGGAGGTGGGGCCTGGAAGGGTTTATTCTTGTCCTGGCTCCTCTCTGCTCTCTGCTTCCTGGCTGCCACGCAGCTTTCCTCCACCATGCTCTTCCCCTATGCTGTTTCTGCCTTGGAGCTAGCCCACCAGGGACTGAACCCCCAAAACATGAGTCACCTTAAACCTCTCCTCCTTTAAACTGTGGATGTTGGGAATTTTATCCCAGTGACAGTAAAGCTGACTAAGACAACATATATTTATAAACTCTTACGACACAGCAGTTTATGCACTTAGAGCTTTACATTCATTATCTCAATTACTATGGAAACAAGAATTTACCCTCATTTCACAGGTAGGGAAACTGGAGGCCAGAGAAGGCAACAAAGTTGTCCAAAGTCATAAAGCAATAAAGAGTGAAGCTGAGACCTAAGTCCCAGGTATCCTCCTGGCCACAAAGATGAATACCTGTTCACAGGGCTGGAGCTGCATGTTATGACCATTCCCCAACCTGGCTGAGGCCTACATCCTGGGTTCAAAGACACAGCCTCTGAATTTCCATCAGGCAAGTGCCAGACCAGGGCCAGGGAGGAGTGTGGATGGGTCCCTGTGAGTCCTCACTGCTCCTGGGTATCATGGCTCTGCCTGCCCCCGGGCCACAGGGAGGGGAGAGGTGCCATTTTGTTTGCCAGAGGCAGATGTTCCTGCCTCTCCCAAGGAGCTCCACAGCCAGCTGGACTCACCCTCGCAGTAGCTTGACTTTGATGCCCCCCAGCAGGGTGTCGCACCTCTCGATGACCAGCCGTGGATAACCAGTGCGGTCCATGGTCAGCCGGACTTTGGCAGAGATGTTCACTTCCACTGAGATGTCCAAGAAGCCAATGAGACTAAAGGAGACCAAGGGGCCAAGTGGACAGTGAGTCACACTCCAGCCACCAGGCCCACCAGCACCTCTCACCTCAGGCTTTAGCCCTGACTGTCCCCGTCAGCCTTCGTGTCCCTTGCTCAGCTCTAAGAAGGCTGAGAACAGAGGTCAGTATAAATTCTGGTTTCCAAGGTAACCATCCAATTGCTTAACTTTGCAGGCGTGACCTCATTCGTGTAGATCGACTGATGGAAAAGTCCACCCCTGAGGTCCTTCAGGAAGCACCTACTGCATGGTGGGCCTCTCTGCAGGTGGCCACAGCCAGCCGGGAAGGGAGGTGGCCTCACATCCCAGCGCAGGTGGAGATACTAAGGCTCAGTGGCACTGGAAGTCTGACCCGAGGTCAGGCAGCTTGTAAGAGTCAGGAACCAAGCCCAGGTTGTCCTCTGACTCCAACCTCCCAGACCTTAAACAACCTGCTGGGCTGCCTTCACAGAGGACAGTGACCACGGGGGTGACTTCAGTTCCCCCACCTTATGGATGCAGAGACCAGGTGTGGCAAGGGGAGGTGACTCGCCCACGGTCTCCCTGTGGGGACAGAATGACAAGGGCACACACCTCTTCCCACTGATGGCCACTCGGGTGTACAGGTTCAGGTAAACACCCACGCCGGGCAGGAGCCTCACAGACACCCGGGGCAGGGTCAGCTCCATGATGCGCAGCCTGTACAGGGTGACAGCCTTGTGACCTGAGGTACCCCCTGCCATGGCCCACCGCAGTGCCCTCCCTCACACCGCACTCTGCTCCTCATCCTGAGTCTAAAGAGACCTGCGGTTCCCAGGCAGCACAGAGAACCCAAGGAGAACTTCAGTCCCACCACCCAGGGAGCCGCTGTGCCTCTCTGTGCATTTCCACACCACAGTGCCATGCCCTCTGCTTGTCCCTGCCCCTTGTGAGGCTCCTCCTCCAGGAAACCCCCACCCTCTGATAGATGCGTTCCCTTACCCCCCAGGACCTCTATCGCTGTTGTGACTGGCAGCTGTCTGCAGGCTCTGTCACCCAAGCCCAAAAACCCCACCAGCCCAAAGCTTCTCAGGAGTGGAGCTAACCACTGGATCTGTCCCCTGTGCCAGCACAGTGTCCCTCATATAGCAGAAGCTCTACATATCTGTTGGATTAAATGACTATGAGCAGGAGCCTGGGCATGGTTGAATATATCACACGTATGAAATTATATAATATAATACATGTATGTTGTTAATTTTAAAGCCTCAGGAGTTTCCACCTAACTACCTTACTATGACCATTCTACAGATGAGGAAACTGAGGCTGGAGAAATGGAAAGGCTAGCACCAAGTCACACGCACCTACCTGGGGTACAGTTGGGTTCAGAGGCTGCACTATTTCCTGCCAAGGCCCCAAGCTACACACAGTGCCATGTCCGGCCCCAAGGTCCCTCCCTGAGGAGCCCTTCCCCACTCGCTGGCCCCTGGGGAACTTGATAGGAAACCCAGCCGCCTTACCCTGTGATGCCCTGCACAGTGCTGAGGAGGCCACCTTCACCGAGCACCCCGAGGACACCGCCGCCTCCGAGCAGCCCTCCGTCCCCAAGGAGACCGCCTCCGCCGAGCAGGCCGCCTTGGCCCGCCAGGATCCCCTCGTTAGCCAGCATGCCCCCGGCACCCAGCAGGCCGCCCGGGCCCAGCGCCCCGGTGGCTACCCCTGGAGGGATCTGCCCCGGACGCAGCTCACGTCGGTGAAGCCTGCCCTCTGCGGACCGGTACCAGCCCCGGTGGTGGCCATAGGTGTTGGCGCTGTCATCCCCGCGCCGCAGGTCCCTGATGCTGCCATCAGACTCCAGAATCTCACCATAGCGGTATTTGCCCCCCAGCTGGGCAGTATTGTCATTGGTCTCAATGTGACCGTATCTGTAATTTCCACCAAGCTGTTTGCCGTTGGTGTACTGGGGGGGACGCTCTCGGACATGGAAGTCATTGTAGGGGACACCACCAACACCTCGGGAGAATTCAGCATTTCTGTAGTCATCATATCGGTGCCGCCCACCACCCAAAAGACCACTGCCACCACCCAACAAACCACCACCGCCACCCAGCAGCCCCCCACCACTGCCACCCAGCAGCCCCCCATGGCTGCTTCCTCCACCACCCAGCAGCCCCCCACCACTGCCACCCAGCA